AAAAATAAAAAAAATTAAAAGAAAGTAATAGTTGTAATTTAACAACATATAATGAATAAAACAAACGTAATAACTTCAGCATCACGCTGCTTTATTTCTTAAGAGGTGGGAGAATAAGAGACATAGGAATCTACTTCCTAAAGCCAGCTATGTGCATCATGCAGACAAGCTGTGTAGAGGAACACTAGAGCAGGTCAGTTCATTTGTATAAACGGACTGTCATACTCCAGCAAAAACAAGTGAATTCCCAGTAGCGAACACTAATTTCATGATAGAAGATAAACAACTAAGAGATCCTTCCATGAAAGATTCACTCTCTCTTCTTCTATTACCTCATAAAGCAGGTCACATTTGTACGTTGCCTCATGCTCTTTACCGATTAAAGGAAGCTCCTAGAGCTTTGGTTGGCAAATTTAGCTCTACTTAGGCTCAATTTGGATTTTGTAGTTCTAACAATGCATCTGCAATGTTTTCGAAAAGAGGTGCACAACGGTGCATTATTTCATAGTTATATGTTGTTGATTCCATCATTACTGGTGATGATGAGCAGGATATATGTGATCTCAAGCAGCAACTTTATGTTATTTTTAAATGAAAGATTTGAGAAATTGGAGATATTTCTAGGTGTCAAAGTCGCTTTCCCTTTGCAGGGTTTTATTCTGTCTAAATCCAAATATGCTCTTGATATTATAACTAGAGCTAGGTTATTTGAGACTAGTTCAGTTGATACTCCTATTTAATTGAACCATAACTCATTGTTAGTGATGATGAACTTTTGACTTAACCTACTAGATATAGAGAAGTGGTTGGTTCTCTTGTCTATTTATCTCTTAGTGGACTTGATATTACATGTGCAATTCATGTGGTTAGCCACTTCTCATCATGGGTTATTGCCTTCTTCATCCTATCTTACTCTTCAGCGTTGATTGGGCAGATCATCCTTCTAATAGAAAATCTACTACTGGTATTGTATTTTTACAGATGATTCTTCAGTTATTTCGAAGAGTAAGAAATTGTTAACAATGGCTAGATTGTCAATAGAGACTGAATATCGAGCAATGGACATGCGATTGTCAATAGAGACAGAGATTACTTGATGAACTTGATACACCTCTATCCAGTGCAACTCCTATATTTTATGACAATCAAAGTTCCATACGAATTGCCAAAAATCTAGTTTTTCATGAGTGCACCAAACATATTGAGGCCGACTGTCACTTTGTTCGTCAATCGTACTTAGCCGATTTAATTTCACGTCCTTATACATTCTCCTCAACCTAGCTTGCAGATTTTTTCTCCAAGTCTCAAACGATTACCCGGTTTCGTTTTTTTTTTT